ACACTTTGTTGGGCTCGGATTCTGAGGACGAAGACAGCAATGAGGCACCAGACCACCAGGATGATGAGGACACAGTGAAGAAGGAAGCACTGATGTATTTTGGGGAAAACCCCATCCCAAGGGACAGTGACCCCCTTCAATGGTGGAGGGCTAATGAGGCAAGATTCCCCACACTGGCTGCTTTAGCAAAATCCTACTTAGCTGTACCAGCAACATCCACGCCATCTGAAAGGCTTTTTTCAGTGGCTGGACATATTGTCAACAAAAAAAGGGCAAGCCTGACAGCTGAGCATGTTGAGATGCTAACATTCCTCCACTCCAATACATGACTACAACACAGACACACACACACCTGAGCAGACACACACGCACGGAGTGAGAGTGGTGGTGGAAAGCAAGAGGGAAAGATAAAGGAGAGCAGTAGAGCAGCACAAGTGCTCTTGCAGGAACACACACACACACACACACACACACACACACACAGCTGCTGTTATTTTTTATTTATTTTATGTTTATATTTTGATTCAGATTGTGTTTTTTGCACAACAGTTTTATTTATTGAAAGAAATTTTTATTTATTTTATTATTCTTTGTAAAGTCCTGGGAGCTCCAGTAACAACTAAAAGTTAAACTACTGTTCACTTAACTGTAATAGGCCTAATACTTGAATTTATTTGTTATTTATTTCACAGATTTAAATGATTAGGCTAAGTTGCTGCTGTCACACATTGTGTTGTTTTGTAAATTGCAGCTGTCACCGCTGCTGTTATTTTTTATTTATTTTATGTTGATAAGATTTTGGTTCAGATTGTGTTTTTTGCAGTTTTATTTATTGAAAGAAAGTTTTATTTTATTATTTTTTTATTATAGGATTCCATTGCACTACAACTGTGTGCACTTTATTGTTGTATTGTTCAATACAATTCATTTTTGAACTTGATAATAAAAATATATTGGAAAGAAGAAATTTGTGTTTTATTCATGGAGATAAATTAGCATTAATTGCTATATAGGTCAAATTATGGGGAGATAATCGATAATCGAATCGAAATCGAATCGAATCGGATTTAAAAATGAATCGTTAGATTAATCGATGCATCAATAAAACTATTTTCTAGATTAATCGATTGCAAAAATAATCGTTTAACCCAGCCCTAACTTGAACCTATGTATAGTGGACCATTCAAGGACTGTTGGCTACATGCATTACATGTGTTGACGGATATGACCTGAACTGTTGAATATCGTAAAATAAAAAAAAAAATAAAAAAAAAAAAATCTTGTTTACTTGTGAAGTTTGATACAAAGAAGTGTTTCCAATGTCCATTGATCATCGTTTTATAGGTTGCATTCAGGCTCATATGGTATAAGTCAGATATCCAGAGATATTTTCAGAGACATACTTGCCATGTTCAGAATTGGTATGATGTTTGTTATGTTTTCTATTTTGCATATTGTTAAGTATTTGGGGCAGGATTTTGAAATGTGGAAAACAGATGTAGGAACAAGCCTTGCTAGTATTTTGTGGTTGGACAATACTTTTTTCTGAATTGTTTAAAGAAAAAAAAAAAAAAAAAAAAAAAAGAGAGGGCAATGTCATGTTCACAACATTGAAATGTGTGCAACTACGCCTCCCACAGGAGACGCTTCCTCTGAGGGATTATTCAGGCAGTTGATAAGTGGGCAGCACGCTGTAAACAGCAGTTCAGTTAATAAAGCCCATTGAACGCATGTTGGTTGTCCAGCCTCGTGTGTACAACACATTACAAACATTACAGCCAACATCTCTTTTTCAAGATCAGAATGCTGATAACAAGACTGCAGACTGGCATGGAAGCCTGACAGCCTGTGGACATGTCCAGCCTGTAGCAGAGACACATATCTTGATGAAGGATCCATCTTCACTTCAGAGCATAGAGCAGCACACAGACACAGACACACAGACACACAGACACAGACACACAGACACACACACACACTCAATTACATTTATGTTATTGACTGAAGGGGAGGCAATACAGTTTTTTTTACAATGACTTCAACTCTAATTTCAGAACCTTGATATCCCCTTTCACAAGTCTGGACACAAAACTCAAAAACTAATGATCAAAATGCACATTTTTTCAAAACTCCTAACACTTTTTCCAATTTCTTGGATACTATACACATTAACCTAAGATCATTTGTTCATTTAACTAAAATCACCTGTTTAAAATGATACAACTTAACATCAAAGTATTACCATTTCAAAATGCAATTCACACATTACATCTGAGATGACTGTCTATTCATTTCATTACAATGATCTAACTATCAATGTATACAACTGCTCAAAATAATAAGTTAAACTTGCATTTCTCTTAACACACAGTTTTATGGAAACTGCTGAACAATATTTAATGTTTAGATCATGAAAGGTCCTTGTAATTGCTTTTCCAACACTCTCAACTCGTTACTGATGATTGATTTCACCTTGTGTTAAGAGTATAAATGAGTGGGATCCATGACAGCACAAGCGATTTCAGTAACATGGAGCCGGCAGGTGATCACAACAGAGGTCAAGCAATGGGAAAAAGAAGACAAGGAAGACATGGTGGTCAAAGGATTGGCAGGGGTCACGCACCCCTTCAGAGAGGTGGTCGTGGGCCTCGTATGAGAGGAGGGCTTAGGCCTCAACAAAGAGGTGGCCATGGGCCTCATTTTAGAGGTGTGGGGGAACGTGGTAGAGGAGATGTTTGGCAAATGAAAACATCAACTGTGATGTGGATGAGAACCTGTGGCCAAATCCACATGACAGGGTTGATGGATAGAAGCGCAGTACAGTAATCAATCCAATTTTTTTGGATTGAGTGTTTTGTTTTGTTTTTTTTTAATTTTCAAATGTGTTTTATAGTACTGTAGTTTTTTCTTTTTTGTAACCAGTTATTTTAGCTTTGATTCAAAGAAATCTGTGTTGTATTTCTTCAATTAATTTCAGTTAACCATTTAGTGATGTAGTACCATAATGAATTATTGTTCACATATTTTGTACTACAATATTTAATGATTGTTCAAAGTAATAAACAATGAAACTATCTGTATCTTGTGTGGGGGTGATCTAAATTAAGTTCATATGGTATTTCATGATACAATGCGTTATTTGAAACAGTGATTCTGCAGGTGTAAGGTTTCTTTAAAGATATGGATGCACAATGCAATGTTTTGAGCATTGGACAGCCTGTGTTACAAGGGATGACCGTTTTGAGTTTTGTGTCTAGAGTTGTGAAAAATGACATCAAGGTTCTGAAATTAGTGCTAAAGGGATTGTAAAAAACTGTAATATCAACAGTGCCTGATAACTTGTGTGCTGGAAGCAAGTTTGATTTTGGGAATATACAGGGGACAAATCTGTTATGGTTCAGCCAAAATCAACTGTTAGACCATGTGAAAGACATTATCCACTTAGCCCAGAGGTTATTGAAGGCATTGCTCCTGTCATTCAGTCACTCATAAATCAAGGCGCCATTGTGGAATGTCCTTATTCATCATGTAACACCCCCATCCTTCCTGTAAAGAAACCAAATGGTGATTGAAGACCAGTCAAAGACCTCAGGGCAATGAATGAGGCTGTGCAACACCCAGCCCCCACTGTCCCAAATGTAGCAACACTGCTTTCACAGGTGCCAGCAGACTCCTGTTGGTTTTCTGTCATTGATTTGGCAAATGCATATTTTAGTATTCCTGTTCATCCTGACTCACAGTTTACGTTACACCACGACAGCCAATGCATGGCAGTACACTTGTGCAGTATGGTGGTGATCACTTGGTGTGTTCCACCACACAAGAGAATTGTAAAGCTGACACAGTGTCTCTGCTCTGCTTTTAGGCTGAAACTGGTCACAAAGTTTGAAAAGATAAGCTGCAGCTAGTATATCATTCAGCGCGTTATCTTGGTCATAATATCACTCTGGAGGGTTGGGTCTGGACCGCATCCAGGAGATCTTGGATCTTTCAAAACCGTGTAAAAAAAAAAAAAAAAGAAAAGAAAAGAAAAAAAGAAACAACAACCTTTTTGGGCTTAGTAGGCTATTGCCATCCATGGATCTGTGATTTTGTGGAGATCTCTCAACCCCTGGATGACATCACTCAGGAGGAAGACATTTGGCCATGACTGACATATTGACTGTGACTTCTACAGACAAAATCTGCTCATCTGAGAGGGAGCCACAGCGATTGGTCGCATTTTAACCATTTTTAAGCATTTTTCTGTTGTTAAAGTGCCACCCAGTTGCCAATTAGAGTTGAATTTCTCCAGTCACCTTGAGGCGTCCTGTTCTACATATCTACCAAGTTTAGTAAAAGTCGATATGGCGGTTAGGCCTAGATAAGAAATTAGCTCTCTAGTACCCCCAATTCCGGGCAACAGCAACATGTGGAAGAAGGAACAAGTAGAAGCTTCAAAAATACTAGGGGCTGAAAGAGAAGCTAAAAAAGATGTGGGGAGTAAATGCAACAGTGGTGCCAGTGGTAAGCGCAGCACTCAGGGCTGTGACCCCCAAACTGGAAGAGTGGCTGCAGTAGATTCCAGGTACAACATCTGAGTTCTCTGTCCAGATGAGCGCAGTCCTAGGAACAGCTACAATACTACAAACTCCTAAGCCTGGACCCAAGGTTGAGGGAGACACACCACCACCCCCCAGATCACAGATTGCAAAACTGCTTATACACTTTACTACATTCCACAGTTATCTTCTATGTGAGAAATCCTGTTTTTTCCTTAGGGGTTCTAAGGTGGCCTAATGGTCATAGATGTAAGAATGCCACTGAATAATAAAGCCATTGTATGAAGTAATTTAATGTCATCCTCACACTGTCATCATCTCCCACTGCTTTTTGTGATCTTGTGCAGTTCAAGCACTTGAGATGTAGTCTCTATATACAGACTCTACATTCAGTGAATGTAGACCAACTAGTGATAAATCATATTGATCAAACAGTTCATGGTGTAGGTAGGTTTTTACCTGCATGGTTTGAGGATGGTCGCAAGCCTCTGTAGTTTGTCCCACTCCGTTGTAGTTCTGCTTGCAAAGAGTAGCCTTCACAGCCTCTTGGTTCTTCAGGAGACAAGAGATCATATACAGCGTTGAATTCCACCTTGTGGAACGTCCTGTATAAGGGGCTCTCTTTTTTGCCCAAGTGCTGTTTGCTCCTGGTGTAGTTCCTCTGTATTAACAGGGCTATGTTTAAAATGACCTACTATTTTGCGACATTTTGCCAACGTATCTGATGTAGTTTCATTAGCCTGGCGTGCTCGGTGGAGACACACACACAGAAGAGTGGAGCGACATTAACGCTATTCACACGGCAAGGAGATTAATCCACGGTCGAGACGACGAGAAACTGCCTGAAATCTTGGGTAACACCCTTGGTGAGCGGAACGAGGTACGTTAAGCGGTCTTAATTGCCTTTACTGCAGGTACCACGGGTTTGAGTTGTCCACTCACATTGTTTGAAACGTTTTGTTTGTTTTGTTTAGTTCTTTGTTTCGTTTGTTTCGTTTGTTTGCGTTATTAGCGTGCAGCGCTATTTTGGTAGATCATTATTATTATTAGAGTAGCAGTGGTTTTGTTTTTTGTGTGAATTTAAATGTTTGTTTATTCAAGGGAAATGTCATTTGGAGTTTGACTGAAGGAGGGGTAACGTATTTATGTATTTCAATGTTTAGGATTGCCTGTTTATTCACTGTGTGTGGTATGAGATTTATATAATGTTTACACTCGGTATACCTTTGTTAACTGGACATTGACTCTGTAGGGAAAGGCTATTGTCAGTCTAATTTAGTGACTACCTTTTAATACTTGTTTAATTCAATTTATTACTTGTGTATTGTATTTTGATATGACTGTAAACTGTGGATCAAGGTACATTCTAATTTTGTATTTTGTATATTTTCCTATAGTTTTCACGGTGCTTTTCATGGTGTAACGAGACGGTGACCCATAAGCACAAATAAACAAACCGTGAAGCATCAGTTTGGGACTCTGCGAGTTTGTTCAACCAAGCCAAGGGCTGTTACAGTATCATTAAACCCGCTGTCACCAAGGCAAACAGTGATGGTTCTTTGCAAAATGTGAGCAACACACGGCATTTGCACAAAGCTGTCTAGCTGCAGCGATCATGGTTCATACGCTGTCTGTTCCAATTGTGATGACCTTTTGTTGAACTCTCCAGGCCTCTGCCACAGAGAGAAACTGCTCTGCGCAGTTTTCAGCATAGTGCCTGGTGGTCGTCTTCTGCACAGTTAGGGCGAAAGACTTAGGATGCCATTCCCCGTCAGTGACGTCAATAATGTGTGCAGTCACACCGAGGTAATTTGTATTGCTTACCGTGGTCCAATGATCCCCACACTGTCAGAAAATAAGGTACAACTGAGGTGCACTTTTGTTCTCTAAGGTACAACTGCTGGTGATGTACCCTCACAGGTTTTGAGTTGATCCACATGGTACTTACATGTACCATTTTGGGGTTAAAAGGGTACATTTAATTTCCAAAATGATCAAGGGTCCACATCTGTACCATTTTTTCCACAAACAGGGGTACAACGACAATGTGAGGCTGTCAGTGGATGAATAGAGGGAAAATCAGAGGAGGTTTTTGCATTAGAATTGAGAAATTTTGTTCATTTACACCAAGGGTGGGCAAACTCGGGGGCCACAATGAGCTTTATGATGTGATACAAATGTAAAAAGTACAATACAAATGTAAAAGCCATTACCTTAAAGTAAATGATTACATTCGATTTCAGTGAGAGCAGTATTGTTGGTCACTCTTTTTGCCAGTGCATCAAAGTTTGTGGTCTTTGCTAATTGTTGGATAATTTTGTTCCAGTATTTGATGGGCTGGATTAAAAAGCCCAACGTGCCGTAAGGCCCACAGGCCTTGGTTTGGCCATGCCTGGGTCACAGTGTTATAAGAAGCAATAGACATAATATTGCAAATCACAAATGATCTAGAAATAATTAATTACAACTATTTCTATTATCTTAACAAATTTGCTTTGGTATGGTTTGCTTGGTATCATATTGGTTTGAGCTATGTCACCTTAATTTGGTTTTATTTATACCTGGATCAGAAAGAAAATCAGTGGAATCACACATCACTAATATTTAAGATCAACTGAGCTGAGACTATGATATAAAATAGTTTTAAAAATTATCCTGGAGATAACGCTGATGATGAAAAAGGATCTTTTTTTTTTTTTTTTTACTTTATTTAAATAATAAATATACAAATTATGTCAAACACTAAACACATAAGCTCTCATGAAAAAGGATCATGACCCCTAATACATGCGCGTTCATGACGCAACGGCACATGTACGCGCATCAACCGCTCCTCCGAACAGTCAGCAGTTGGCTGCTGTCACGACGAGGCGGAGATGGAGTGGTTGACGGAAGAACTTCTACTTAAGCTGGAGGAGGCTGGGATGAATTTGACGAATGAAGAAGCCCAGAGATTTAGAGGTAAGTTCATTTCAAAATGAACTGAAGTTGAAGATATATAGAGCTTTATATGTTCGAAGCAGCCTTTCGACGAAACTGAAAAAAAAACAGAGACTAAATCTTCAGCTAGCATGCTAGTCAACATGATGCTAGCTCGGAAAAACTCGGACATTCAGCTTCAATATAAAAGGTCAACATGACCAAATGGTTGTTGAGACATCTTTTGTGCTTTATTAACGTTAACGTTAGCTAAAATTTGCTGATATCATTGCATGGTAATTTAATATCACGGTAGACTAAAATGTACCTTTAGCTTCAGTTAACCACTGTTGCGGTAGCCTCGCGTCACCAGGTGTCTATTCACTCTGAATTTTGTCTGGATTCTGCTTCCGGTCTAGGGAGCGGATGCGGTATTCACGAAATTCACCAAACTAAAAGTGTTCACCATAGTAAAACTTTAAATTCTGGCGCACCATCGATTTGGGGTGATGAGGGGTGTAAGAAAATCGATTAACTTAATGGCTTGGGGCTTTTCTTGTAAATTATATTCTTTAAATTAAAAGTTTCACCGCATTTTTATTAGCTTGGTGCTTTTATTTTTACGGAAAGGCACATCCATAGAATTCCGGATCCTGTCTCACTCGCCCTCGCCCTGGTTCCGTTTCCTTACCAAAACAGCCACTAACGGCCCCAGACTACTGTTGCGGTGCTCCACTCTGCTGTCTGTTCTGCTGCTACTGTATACCACTTAAGAGTTGAAAATGCCGGCATCGGTAACTGTTATGGCGAGTCTGTTTACCAGTTAGCTCCGTTAGCAATGTTAGTGACGTTAGCTCCGGTAGCACAGCTGCAGTCGAACTGGAGAGGTCCGTTTTAATAAACTAAATGAGGAAACATTATGTTCTGTCAGTACTGCGGCATTTGGACCAGAGTGAAAACAACTATATGCACCAGGTGAAAAATGAAACCATGTATCACAGTATGCACCAGCATGTGTAGTAAAAGATTTTGACTGAAACATATAAAAACTAACACCATTCTATAGGGCTGCAACTAATGATTATTTTAATTATCCATTAATCTGTCAGTTATTTAAAAGATTAACTGATTAATTGTTTGGTCAATAAAATGTTGAAAAATATCAATCAGTGTTTCCCAAACCACAAGATGACGTCCTCAAATGTCTTGTTTTGCCTACAAACCAAAGAGATATTTAGTTTATTGTTGTAAGGGAACAAAGAAACCAGAAATATTCACATTTAAGAATCAGAAATCAGAGAATTTGGACTTTTTTTTTCCTTAAAAAACTACTCAAACCGATTATTTGATTATCAAAATAGTTGACGATTAATTTAATAATCGACTATTGTTCGATTAATTGATTAATTGTTGCAGCTCTACAATTCTATGTGTTTCTGTGCTATGTAAATACAATTTGATGAATTACTTTTAATTTCAACATGGGGGACAGGGCTATGAACATTCAGAAACTGTAACTCAACTTATTTATCTAAGTGGTAGCCGGGAGCCCTGTGCAACAACCACAGATACATTCAGTGCAGACAAACATTCAGCAGTAAAGTGTATATTGGATTGTGTCCCGCAACACAACTTAATGCTTTCATAATAATTCTTATCTTACACTGGTAAGTTAAGAATTACACATTAAGGTACTCACTTCATGCTTTTTTGTATGTTTTGACAAATTACTATTTCGGTCTCTCTCTCTCTCTCTCTCTTTCAGACAATGATGTGGATGGGGAGACTGTGTAGTGTGGTTTGACGGATAGCATGGTGTCCTACCTTTTTTCTGGGTCTTTTAAAAAACAAGCAAAATTTAACAGATTCATTCAGGAGCAGAAAGAAGTGGTGACATTAACACTGGAACCAGTTCCCGAAGAACTGTATTTACAGCCTTTCATAGAAGAAGGGTAAGTTTTGTTTATAACTTTTATCCTGCAGTTTATGACATTTATCACAAACATTTAACATGAACACAGGAGATAAATGATTTTCACAGGATAGGCAAGGCATGAGCTATTAAAGTAAAGTAACTTGTTCACTTTCAGGCAAATGAAATTGAGTGAAAAAAGTTTTAAGTTGCCTCTGAGATATACTGGAGTAGAAGTAGGCTATAAAGTAGCATAACATGGAAATACTGAAATTAAGTACAAGTACCTGAAATTTGTACTGTGACACCTTGTTTACTGCTAACACAAGGTCCTCTCCCTCTCCCACCCTGTCAGAAATAAAGCCAATCGGAGACTTCCAGCTGTGTTTGTCATCCCACCTTTCCCTAAAGATCTGCAAAACAGGCTTGATAACAAGGAAGCATGTCAGAAGTCATCCAGAGATCGACGTAGAATAATTTGTGTTCTCCACGAAGCAATGATAGAATATACAATGTGAATCAGAAATGTCCACAGGTAGTCCATATATTTGTGTCATTGTCACTGCTTTGATGATATAGCTGTTCCAAATTTGCTCCCACATGGATGAATATTAAAGGTAGAGCCTGTAGGTTTGTTTGTTGCAGTTTGTAAACACAACATTCAAACTGAGCCCCTCCTCTTGGGCTCAGTTGTGCACGCCCCCTGTTCCCGACTGACCCATGTTCTACTGCTGTTTAAATGGAACCCTTCTCCACTTCCCCTGACATTTGTTACTATCACCAAGATAGTGACTGGATGCCATCAAACCAGGAGAAAAAGCTGATAAGCACTTACCAGCAAAGAAAAGGAATACAGTCAGAGTGAAGTATCGGGCCCAAACACAGCCATCTCTGGCAATGGGAGCCAGCTCTGCCGTCATGAGTAGGAGGGCTACTGTGGTGAGCACAGAAGCTTAAGGTGTGGGCCCAGACCCCTGCTAGCTCTGTGGGTGCTAACCCTGTGGTTGCTGGTCGGAACGGTGCTAGTACCTGCAGGGCTAGCCACCACCTTGGCTTGCGCCCTAGGCTTCTGTGCGGACAACAGCAGCCCTCCTACTTGTTGTGGCATAGCCCTCAAGCTACTGTTGCTGGTGACAGCTGGGTATGGGTCCGATGCTCCAGCACTTTTTTCCACATTTTTCTTCTTTGCTGGTAAGTGCATATCGTCTGTTTGTCTTTCTGGAAAATCCTGACTTTTTTTTGCAGTTACATGGTAAAGTTTTCATAACACTAATTTATCATTTTATTCTATCTCACAGGTATCCTACTAATGCTGAATATGTCCAGGTTGTTCAGACTCTTATTGCTAAGTACCCCTTTCTTAAGGATCTGGAGGGAAATGGCTATGTAAGTTAGAAAGTTTGGTAGTTTTAATATTAAGCAGCTGTATATTATCTGATATAATTAAGAAAAAATTCTGAATACCGTATTGACCCGAATATAAGACGACCCCCCTTTTGCAAGAACAGTTTTTGGAAAAATATTTTTTTAAGACGAAATCATCAAGACATCAATCAATAAAACAGCAGTGGTTGGAATATTTATGATATCATTATGTAATTGTAACTGTAAGTTCATATTCCTCTTGCCAGTAAAAATCTAATGCAATGCGATTTCAGACACCCCCAAGGTGGACTGTACCATATCTGAACCTCCATCAGGTTAGACTGTTGACAGCTACCTGAGGTGGCGCGTGTCACTTCGTCAAGCAGAGCGATGGGGAGACACTACAGTCTATAGGAGAGAGAGACCTGTGTACAGGTAGCTCCCTCGTTTTGTCAGCGTGACGTGCCTTGCATGCGCGTCTGCCCCTGGGTATAAAAAAAAGAAAGAAAGAAAGTTGTGGGGTAATTAGAATACTGATCATCATTATCATAAAATCGGCATCATAACTCCTCTGTTGCTAACGTCTAAGGGAGAGAGAGAGAGAGAGCACTCTGACTCACTTGGGGGAAAGTCGTTTGGCGTTGACCATTGATTTACATATATATCTATATATATATATAATATC